AGGCTGGTCATGAAGGTTTCTACCGAGTTTGGGATTATCCACTGAATCCTAAAAGTCTTTCGTTGGGTGAACTTTATGGTGAATTCAATATGTCAACTAATGAATGGAGTGATGGTGTGTTGTCTAGTATTATGAGACAGGCTTGTGCAGGTAAGATAAACTCAGTATTGGAAGGTCTTGACCTTATACGCTATATATATATATATATATATATATATATATATATATATATATACATATATATATATATATATATATATATTGATTGATTGATTGATTGATTTTTAGATGAAAAGCCAGACCACAAGTGGATCCTATTTGATGGTCCAGTAGATGCCCTGTGGATTGAGAGCATGAACTCTGTCATGGATGACAACAAAATCTTGACGCTTATTAATGGAGAACGTATCTCGATGCCAGAACAGGTGTGTAATCAGATTTTACGATTTTTAAAAAGAAATAGTTAGAAAATTCGAAATTCATGCCACTTACTTAGCAAATGTGAAATAAGTTTAGTTGCATTTATTTTGTTCACAACAATGTTGCCTATATTAGCGCCTATTTACATTATATATATATATATATATATATATATATATAGTCGAGAATGGTCAAAATGAATAGCTCTCGTTCTTAATGAGTAAATGTTGCTCCATTAGGGATAATCGTGTGTGTTTATTGAACATATACTCGAAATCAGTTGTTCAAAGCGCCTGGACCATATTGGCTAGAGCTTCACAATTCTGTAACTGAGACTTCGTAATTGAAATGCTTTGAGGAATTTACTAAACCCACCACCTACGTATGCGTACGTACCTTCAATTGTCTGTTTATGCTGCTCCTGCTATAGAATGAATGGGCAATTAAAAGTTTATCAATTGGCTTAAACCTCAACTTCATTAATAAGTCAAACGTAAATGTGAAGAAGTCGTAAATCTCCTTTCTTTACTTGATATATTTCATTCATACAACATTAAGTCTTAGTGTTGAAACATAAATGGTATTTTTATTCCAGCATTTGAGGGCTTACTTTATTCTGAATATTTGAGACAAGAATTATTATGCGCCAGATATAGCCACATGACTGATGATCTTTTAAATACTCATCACAATCCATATCTAGGAGAGCTGTATTTTCTCTTCTCAGCAATGGCTCTGGATGTTTGAGAATATCTTATCGTATTGACCTTGGTTAGCCTACTCTAATGAGAGGCAAAATGATAAAATTTGTAATTATAGTCCTAACGACATGATATTTTCATATCAAATGGTACTCTTTATGATGGTTATACTCCTACGGCAAAAAAGTCTAATAACCGACAGTTGACTTCTGACTTCAAACTACCATAACCCGACTGGATGCCGTATTCTACCACTTTTACAGTATCCATCACCCACACTGTATGTCATATTCGACCCCTTTCAAAGTACTCATCTTACTTTAACGGTACAAGTCTATTAACTGGCAGTTGACTTCTCACTTCAAACTAACAAGTCTATCAACCGGCAGTTGACTTCTGACTTCAAACTACGTCTATCAACCGGCAGTTGACTTCTCACTTCAAACTACCAATCAGCCCGACTGCTTGTCATATTCAACCCCTTCAACAGCACTCGCCCCACTGTATGTCATATTCGACTACTTCCACAGTACTCGCTGACTCCATGTCATATTCGATCATTTTCACAGTACTCACACTGTATTTCATATTCGACTACTTCCACAGTACTCATCTGAACTATTCTCTGCC